TATTATTATTATTATTATTATTATTATTATTATTATTATTCCTATCCCCTGGTACTTGGGTTTATTTATTTATTTGTTTGTTCATTCATTCAGTTATACCCATCATCGCTTACTGAAAAACTGCCATGTCCTCTCCACTGCAACTGCACTCATTAGATCTGTTTCTCTGCTACACTGTGGGACAGATGCATCCTGTTCTCCACCAGGGATATGTTAGAGCATAAAAAAACCTGGAAACCAACTTCCAGTATTTCAGGGTCTAAAACTGTCAGTCTTCCCTGGATGTAGGTTATGGCTTATTCTGTAAACATCATGGATCAGATGACATGGATATTAATTCTATGTGTAAAATACACATTTAAATACTTAAAATGGAATGAGTACTGTACAAGGAGAGAAATGTTGAACATGTTTCCTTTCGCTCCTGAAGACTGATGCAACAGCTGAGTGAGACATACTGTATATACTCGACTATATGTTAACCTCATGTATTAAGTCGAGGGCTGATTCTGGAGCTAAAAGTATGGATTTGGGTATGACCCATGGATAAGTCAAGGGTAAAACATCAGGGCACATAACAAAGGAAGAAACAAAGGAAAACAATGTCAAAGAACTACAAAATTCCAGGAGACATAACTGTTTGTGCTCATGCTAAAGGCTAGATGGATGAGAGAGCAGAGGGGCTTCAGTGCTTCTAGGACAGATTATGCTCTTGCCTTTCGTCAGGGGATGGTTCTTTTTTTAAATAAGAGTTAAGGTACAGAACTCCATTAACCTGTGGATAAGTCAATTCAGTTTTTGGGGTCAATTTTTTGACTAAAATTTCTAGATTTATACATGAGTATATACAGTATGCCCTTAAAACATTTATTAGTAGTAGTAGTATTTAAATATTTATGTTCCACCCTTTATCCAAGAATCTTAGGATACCACACAATAAAAATTCATTTATAACATTTTAAAACAAGAACAATTTTTAAAAACTGTTTTTTAAAGAATAGTGTATCATTTAACACTTAAAGCAAGACAATTTAAAACCAGTTAAAACAGTCTAAAATAAAGTCAACAAGTGCAAATTGGATAAAATCAATTAAGATCCAAAAGCTTTAATAAAAAGCCATGTTTTGACTTGGCATTGGAATTATACCAGTGTTGGTGCCTCAGACTGGTATCATATTGGCAGCAAGTGCCACTCCTTTAAAACCAAACTTGTATGTTTTCTATATGATGTGTAGTCTAGCTATTGCATTTTGCAGTAACTGCAGTTTTCAAGTTGTCTTCAAGGGTAGCCCCACATAAAGTGAACTGTCATAGACTAACTGTAAAGTTACCTGTGCATGAACTACTGTGGCTAAGAAAAAATATTAAATGTCATTCTAATCCGTACACATGAACCAAATATCATACTTTGAATAGAAAATTCCCCAAAACGGTGCATTAAAAGAAACTGACAACATTTAAGGCCAGAACACTGGACAGATGATCTACCTCATTTATTTCACCAAAAGCCTCACTCACTCAATGGATAATCTGCGGAGGAAACAGAGGTCCAAAACATAGTTCAGAAATAATCCAGTTTGAGACCACTTTAATTGTCTTGGTTCAGTACTAAGGAATCTTGGGAATTGTAGTTTATTGTGGCACCAGAACCCTTTGACAGAGAAGGCTAAATGTTTTACAAAACTATAGTTTCCAGAATTCCCTAGCAATGACCCAGGACAGTTAACGTGATCACAAACTGGATTATTTCTGCAGTGTGTTTTGGACCATAATTATAAATTCTTTTGCTCTCTTTTCACATTCTCTGTATACAATCAAAGAGCAAGGCAATACCAAGTTGCTTTCAATTAAAACTGATGCAAATGGGTTTCCAAATACATAATTTCTTAATTTTGTTGTCTTTACAGCTTACAAATGAATTCAGAGGCTATGTAATTGCCGTACCATCCCTCCACTGAGTCACAATTCCAAAGAGCCTTAGAAATGAG